CGCCCCCTGCCCCCAAGCCCCCCCCCCCCAATTCTGGGGTTACTGCAGAGCAGCCCAAGCCCTCATCCCGGTTTTGTAGAAAATTGAGAGCAAAGCGGCAGAGCCTTTCCCCAGCTAGACTAGGGCCACCGTCGGGAACCCCCTACAACCTCTAGGGGCACGGCGGGTGCTCAGGGTTGTCTCTGGTGCCCTGGCTCCATTCCGGCTCCACCCCAGCTCGACCCCTCCCTCTCTCCCTCGGGCTGCTGGGGCCGGGGGACGCAGCTGTGAGGGGCTGGCCAGCTCTGGCGTGCCTAATCCCTTGGTGCACCTGAGGCCCCGGTCTCCTAGACTCGGGGGATCTGTTCCCACCAGGCCTGTCTCTTGGGATGGGGGTAGGGGGTGAACTCACCCTGACTCTGTACAGCATAAACAGAAATACAACGGCAGTCTGTCTCTCTCTCTCTCTCTCGGAAATGCAAAGGATCCCTGGAACTGGGAAGAGACCCATAGTCCACCACTATAGGGAGTGCCACTGTGATGGGGGGGCAAGCAGCCCCAACATGGGTGGGCAGCTCTAACTAGGCTCCACTAAGGGCTGGACCCGGTTTGTCCACAGGGGGCCTTGGTCACCAGATGCTTCGATGAGCCAGGTGGGGCTGGCAGCTGGGTTCCAGGTGGCCCTCCTCATTGTGCTGGGACAGAAGTCCCTACACTGAGCAAGTTCTCTGTGTCCAGGCTGTGTTGGGCCCTGCTGGACCCCAGACTAGGGGTGGGCAGTGTGCCGGGGGGCAGCAGGAGGAGTTCCCACGGATGGCATGGGGCATCCCTACCTTTCCAGTATGCTGCCCCACACGGTGTCCCTACCCAAGGCCTGGGCCACCGCTCAGGAACCTGCAGGCTTAGGTGAGGGGGCTGTGACTATCTACTGCATTCAGGACCATCCCAAGTCCAAAAACATCCTGAGCCCAGGACAGGTGGAACCAGCCAGGGTGGCCCAGACCTCTGGTCACAGCCTGGATTTGGAGCAGAGGCGACATGTGCACCCCTGGCCCATTCTCCAAGAGGCAGGGAAAGGTAGACCCTTAGGCATTTTGCTCAACACCTAACCTGAGTTTATTAATCTTCATTGTGCCCCAGATAAGTGACCCCAAAAAGGGGGGTGGGAGAGCAGTCCTGATGTGAGAGTATCAGACCACAGCGTTAAGAGGCTACCCCAGGGATCAGCAGTTAGCGTATGTCGCTGGACTCCCACGTAGTCGACCACGGTTCGTGTCCTGGACCCGGTGGCTTAAAACTCATGCCGGGCGCATGTGTGCGTGCCCAAGATCCAGAGAGGAGAATGGAGAAGGTATTGCCGCGTGGCCATCCCCCCCCCCAGGGTGATTTCTCGCTTTCTGTGTCTGTCTCTGGCGAGTGCACGCGCCCTATAGCAAAAACCTCTCAAAAAAGGAATCTACCCCAGAGTTTTTTTTTTTTCTTTTTCTAGTTTTTAGAGCTGCATGGGTCCCGGGGACAGAGGAGCCTGAGTCTCCCACTTCCGTTTTCATCTGGTACGTTACGCATAGGTTAAAACGCTGAAGGACTGTCACTCCCCAATATTTAATTACTTAACAATTAAAATGGGAAAACCAGAGATCTTAGGCCACCTGCCGGAGGGGACTCTTCGAACTGAGTATACCGTTCAGAGGGGTGAGGACGCGCCTCCGTCCAGGGCCGGTGTCCGCCGGAGGAGATGCACGAGTGATGTGGGGAGGAGGACCCGGACGGGGATCCGGGGCGGCGTCACCCAGCACGCCCCCGAGTCAGCGGGAGCAGCACGGCGCGGGGACAACCCCTCGGCCCGACCGCTCCTGTGCTCTTCTCGGCGGTGCACAGCCCCAGGAAAGTTCCCGGCCTCGCTGCCCCTAGGACGGTTGGAAAGTTTCCGTGACCACCTGGCCCTGAAAGCGAGGGGTCGGGCATCGCGCTGGGTGGATACGGCGCTCGGGCCCTGCCGGGCCGCGCTCGACGGGGGCGCGCGGTGCGGGGCGCCCCAGACTGGTCGGGCAGGGCTCCGTGGCCGCGCACAAAGGGACCCGCCCCCACCGACCCATGGTCTCGGGCGCCGCGGCGCGGGCGAGGCGGGCTACGAGCTCCGAGCTACGGCC